GATTTTTCTCTTCACCTTGCTGTTGCGTTCCTTTGGGTCTCCAGGTCCCTTCAGCCTCCTTCCCCCACAGCTACTTCCCATCCTCATCTCCCACCCCCAAAAGAGATAGGAATGGGTTTCTAATCTTGGATGTATTTTTTTCCTTCTGCCCCACATTTATCAGACACACATTCTGCCAGGGGAGATTTGCAGTGCTCCCTGCTGCCCAATCCCTGTCTCTCAAAGATGGGACTGAAAGCCAATTTACAAAGAGAATGGAGTTTGCTGTAGGGATGTAAGCGACAAGTCGACTATCCAGTAAGCATAAGCTTATCAGAGAGTCAAGTAGTGACTCAACTAGTCACTTCCCCCCTTACTGCCTCTATCAGAGGCAGGAACGGGGGCGGTTTAAAAGCTGGTTCCTCCCGCCCCCAGTACCATCTCTGCGGGGGGCAGGGGAGACAGAGGTGTAGTGGAGGACTGGGCAAGAGCCAGAAATTAGCTAATGCCCAGTCCCAGACACCACGCATCTGGTTTTTAATCTCATTAAGAGCCTGCCAGCTAACCCCACTGTGCTCCACAGTTCCCCCGCTTATCGACTAATCCGCTAGTCAGTGGAAATTCCATCGACTAGTTGATTAAATGCAATTTAACATCCCTAGTTCTGTGTCCCGGCCCCCAACACAGAGCACCCTGGCTTGGCCTGAGGCTTGCTTGGTTGGGTCTCTGGTAAATCTCAGCAGCAGCGTGCTCTGCGCACCCGCGTGCGCAATGCACCAGTATGGACACTGTACTTGAGGGTGCCCTTGGTCCAGCTCTCCCCCGTGGAGTACAGCAGCTTCATGCTTGATTGCAGTGTGGAACCTGAGTCACTGTCCCAGGTGCCAAACACTGCTCTTCACACTGAGCCCCTCTGGAGCCGAGAGTGTAGACACCTGGAAGAATTGGGACAGTAGATTTGGTGCTTGAACATCGCAATGGTCCAATTTCCTGCTTGCATCCAGCATCCTTTGTTGTCGTCAAGAGTTGGATTCTCTGCATCTTGGCCTGCCCATGTGGTCAGACAAAGGCAGGCTCTGCTTGTAACCACACAGGATGGAAGACGGACTCTTTCTGCCCAGGCCATAGATCAGTTAGGGTTGCCAGGTGTCCAGTAAAGGCACAGTTACTCTTTTCTTTTTTAATGAGCCGGAGGTGGGGGGTGTTTCTCAACAAGTTTGGTCTTTTTTTTTTTTTTTTTTTATTGAGGATACGTCTACACTGAAGAAAAAAAACCCACAGGCTTTAAGACCAGTCCACTTGCAGAGTTGCTCACAACGTGATCAAGGCCAAGCTGCCTCTTTGAGACCATTTCCGAATGGTTCATTTTTGGTGCCAGTTGCGTGATTCTCTGCCAGGCCTCTGCAGCCTGTACTTGAGATTGCTGCTTTTCAGTCTTTCTCTGCAAGAGAGACGACGGCCTGTCGCACGTTGAGCTTCTGCGTGTTGGCTGGAACCAGAGCATAAGCTGTTTTCTCCAGCTGGCTCCGGAGAGTGCTGTTAGGCTGTAGCAGTCTCCCCAAGGAAGCGTCTGTCACTTCAAATCAGACGAGGCAAAATGCCTGCTGAGGAGCAGTGGGGCGGGGAGTGTGGCTGGCTGGGAGCGCCATGTTGCCAGCAGCCAGCGTGGCATATAGGGAAGGACAAGTTCAGCTGGCTCGTGGCCCAAGCTGACCTGGACAGGAGTTAGTGGCTGTTTGAACCGAGCTGTGCCTTGCAATCTGGCTGAGGCGTGTAAGGTCGAGGGACTGTTGAATGGAAGAGCTTCCAGGCCAGCCATTGATGATTACTGTTCTGTCTGGCCGTCAGGTCAGAGCTGATTGAGAAGGAAAGACAAGTCACTCTTGCATGGGTCTTTCTCTTTCACCAACGCTGGAATTTAAAGGAGCTCTCTGCTTTTCCTGTCCCACTGCGAGGCTACGACTCTTTGCAGCCTTTTACCCTCTTCATTTGGTAAAAGAAGGTTCCCTGCCTCCTGTGGCCCAATGGAAATCGTTAGACACACTGAGCTGTGCCTAGTACCGTATCGCATTAAAATATCTGCCTCACTGATCAGCACCTCCACTGTGGGAGGGTTTGCATGTCACCTTCAGAAATCAGGGCTTTTGAAAAGATCCCGCATCGACTGTGTCTGTCGAACTCCTGGCTTGATCTCTCCAGTCGGCAATGAGTTGGTTTCCTGGGTGGGGTCAGGAAGTGGCACCTCTTTTAATGTGAAGTATCCCTCTGCCGAAAGCCACCAGAAAAGCCTTTAATCCTAGAATTAAGATTCTTTTCTGAACAAGAATAATCTGCAGGTCAGACCTGGCTTCTTGGGCTAAAATGGGACGTCCTGTTGCGTATTGGATGTCATAATGTATTCTCCTGTCCTCACTCAGTGAATAAGGCAATGGACTGAAGGTCAGAAGGTGATGGGTTCTGATCCCAGTTCTGGCACCGACTTTGGGCAAAGTACCGCTCAGTGTCCGTGTTCTCTGTGTGCTCGTTGTACTGACTCACTATTGAAGTGTGAAGTCTGACGTCTGACTGTTGGAACACGAATTTTCTGTGTACAGCTGCCCATGGAAGCTCATTGTGGGGGTTGTCTGTGACAGCATCAAGGGTTGCAATCTAGCAGTACATCTGCCCAGCACAAGGGGCAGTACGAGCTATCCCATATTGTTGCTGAGCAAACAGTTAGTTCAGTTAAACCAGATCCTCATTTGGAGAACAAACTTAACTCACCCTTGGTTCTGAATTTTCATGGAAATCTTTGGTCTGGGGCAGAGATCCTAAATTGGGGGAACTGTTGGGTGGGAACCTTGTTTCTCAACCCTTCTTAAGGCTTGAAGCCGCCTGTGTTCAGTGCAGCAGAGCTGGATGCACTGCAGCTGGGGGGAGGGTTCTCAAAAGCTGATTTTTAACCTGATGTGAGAAGCTACTGCAGAGCTGCTGGTATCACTGTCCTTTTCCTCAAGTAGCTGATGCATGCACATGGTGTGCTGTCAGAAAGGTTCATCTGTCTCGCTGACATTGCAGGTTGCCGGTGCAGCAGAGAAGCTGCAGCTTTTTTAAAGCCTGAGGTCAAATTGTTTGCTGTGGGGGCTGCCTTTTTCTAAACCATATCCGCAGAGGTATTTTGAGTCCCAGGACAAAATGTGAGTCTGGGGCTGAGAGGCTCACTGGATTCACATACAGCTTGTGTCCTGCAAAGCCCTCAGCTGATGCATGGAAAAAGCGTTCAGTTTTAGAGCTATAAAATAGTGACTTACAATGATTTGGACACGATTTGTTTTTTTACTTTTAACTGTTCTTAAAAATAATCTGTCATGACATTCCAAAGTGAATCAAGATAAATCAAGACCACTTGAATTCTGAGTAAGAGCATCCACATGGGTTTAATGCAGTTTATCTAGTTCACTAGAAATGCACACCTTTAATTAATTAGGATTAATTTTCCTGAGTGCCCCCTTATAGACAAGCCCTTAAAAGCTATGCCCAGGGATAAAGAGTAGTATCATTAGAGATGTTTTATAACTCTTACGGATTTAGATGTTTCTTCCTAACTGGTTTGCAACGGAAATAGCATGAGAAAGGTGGGGGCAGTGACACTGACGAGGAACACAAGTGAAACTGACTAGAATCAAGTTTCCCTGTCTGAGGTGGGTGCAAAAGGGCAGTCAGGCTAGCACCACGGGTATTCCAAAATAAATCAACTGAAATTTTTTGTCAGTTCTAATAACACACATGAGGCACGGAAGTTTAAAATTGGCTTGACTGTAGCAAAGAGGCGTGTGAACGCTGCGTCTGTGCTGAGGATAATTATACCCATGGAGTTGAAACAATTTGGGGATTCCCCTGCTTTCCAGCTAGGGTGAACTGTACTCTTGCAAGCCCCGTACTGTGGCAGCATAGTACAGCAATGTGACTGTCCCCAGTCCCTCCATGGCTGGAAAGTCAGTGAATTGCAGAGCCATGGGGATCAGGCTGGCTGGCTCTCTGCAATGGAGTGCAAATGGGCACTTCCCCTCGTGACCCATGGAAAGCTTGTGTTCCCTGTGGCATCTGTAGCTACACGAGCCCCTGTCTAGTGGCAGGCTGTGGGTGGGGGGGCACGTGTCTGACTGGGGCCCTGCTCTGGAGTGTGCCTGTGTGACAAGCTCACTAGACTCTGGTCTCATTTGTGTTCATCTGTCTTCTCAAGTGAGACCTGTATGTGGACCAGCCCAGAGAAGAGGCTAGTTGAAGAACAATATTCATTTTCCCATCTCCAGCCAGCATGGTTTCCTTCCCTACTTCAGAAGCATTAAAAATCACCCAGACATCAAACCACATGCTCTGCTGCAGTGAGGGGTGTTTCCTGGCATGAGCAGGGATTGGAAACCATGAGAGATTCCCCCACACACATGCATGCAGCCCCGGCCTGCCCTTCAGTCAGGGAGTGTGTGAACAGGAGGGGACGGCTGCCCTGATGCCCTTCGTAGGCAGAGCGAATGGTGCCGCGCTAGCCATGCTGTTGCGTGACACCAGTCTCTGAAGGCAGGCAGGATGTCCCCCCCCCCGTAGTCCCAGAACTACTGTTTTGACAGATGGACCAAGAACTCTCCTGTGTTAATGAATCTGAGCTGAGTGATATCTGGAAAGTCCCATGGCTTACTTATTTGTCTTTTTTTAAATATACTTATTTTGCAAGGGGGCGGGAGGGCGTGTGTTACTGAGGAAATAAATGAGAATCACTTTTAAGCTGTAGTTTTTATAAGATGTTATAAACTTGTATCTTTTTACCATTAGTGTGATGTCTGTTCCTTTGTGACCTATTTAGAGTATTTAAATAAAACTTGTGGTTTTTCTTTTCTAAACTCTGCTCTGCTTCTTATCTCAGTTCCCTCTAGATGCTTGGATCCTCGTCTGACCAGCAGTGCAGAAAAATTGCCCATGTAGCCAATATTTCCTCTAATCTTTTCCATCCATGTGTGGAATGTGTGTGTACGTGAGCGCACCAAGGCATGTGCGAATGGGCACCACCAGTAGAAACAGAAAACCTAGCTGGAGGAGCTCTGCTCCTTGGCTGGGCGGCAGTGGAGTTGCTCCAGAGTGGCGGCACACATGCCCCGCTTACAGGGAACACTGCCTGTAGCAGGCAGTCTGGTTTATGAGAAAGGAAATAGCAATCTTTGGGAACCTGGCCGTGAGGCACTGGAGAGGACCCCTGCTTTCACAGAGCAAGCATTCAGGACGTCAGGCCCGGGTACCTGCAGTCGCTAGTCAGAAAATGGAGCGTGATGGGTTCCTAGGGGTTCCCACAATACAGCTAACAGATACAGTCTGGGCCACGAAGCTTCAGCAAGCCCAGAGCTTCTTTCAAAAATCTGCAGTCACCATGGTAACTGTGAATTTTAATTAACCCTCAGAACTTGGCTTTGGGGCAGGCCTTCGTGGTGGCTACAGTAGCTAGGCTGGCTGGCAGTGCATGCCAGCCCTCCTTGCGTGTGAGTGCCGAGTGGCTTGGGGTTAGAAGACGCTTTCTGGTGTGTTGGTGTGTCATTGCTTAGTTATTGACAGGGTCTGGCATGGGCCTGGGTTCGGGGGAGCACTGGTCTAGAGCACTGTCCAGATCGCAGTTTCCTCCTTACACTGCTTGCAAATCAGGGTAACAGGATGTGGCCATCAGTGCTGTACCTAGGACCGTGGTATTCTCTGGCTGCCAGCTCCCTGCCTTGTGGGGCCCATCCTGCCCTCTCTGCTGCTGGGGTTTCCGCTGCCCCCGGCCTGGCTCTCCTGCTGTGTTACCCCCACCCCTGCTGGACTCGTGGGAGCTTGCACTTGTTGGGTCAGGAAAGCAGCACTGGTGGCAACGAGGTTCCGCTTTTGAGCATGGGAAGCTGCCAAAATGAGGAAATGCACAAAACCTCCTCCCTGACTTTATCACCAAACCCCACATGGCTCCTGCTCCCCCCGCCCCATCTTGGCTTCTCTGGGGCTGGGAACAATCCCATGCCCGTTAATTTCAACCCTAGGGCCCCATTAGCAACACCCAGGTACCAGGAGTTTCAGTTGGTCTGCTACTATCCTTGAGCCAGTGGGCTACAGCCTTGAGCTTCCAGCGTGAAGGCTCCTGTTCCTAGAGCTCCCAGGGCTGAGCTCGAGGGAAGAGGGTGCTCACAGCAGGGGCAGGAGCCGTTGAGTAGCCCCAAGCTTCCTCCCCTGAAAGCACAGAAGGTGAACATAGTGCAGAGGCCTGCTGCTTGCCTTGTTCCCATGAGCGGTAAGGGTGCGAGCGGCTGAGCCGACTTTTTTTTTTCCGTTCCAGCTCATCTGCGGAAGTGGGTTTTGCCCACGAAAGCTCATGCTGCTATGTGTATTTATAGACCGTGCTAGTGTCTACGGTGCCACTGGACTGCTGGTAAAGTTACAGACTAACTCAGCTTCCTCTCTGAGATTGGTCTCTAGTGAGAGCCCCGCCTCCTTCAGCCCATTCACAGATAATTAGCGAGAGGCCTGGGCAGAGGGGGATCACAAAAGACTTGGGGTTTGAATGTGTTTTTATGGTGCAATTTCATGGAAAATCTCTCCACCAAAACATGGGGAGGAGTCCTGATTCCTCAGGTTCCGTCCCTTCTTTTCTGGGGGGCAAGAAGGGAAAGCTAAAGTAGAAGAGCGTTTTACTCTCTCTCTCTCTCTCTCTCACACACACACACTCTCTCTCTCTCTCTCTCTCTCTCTCTCTCTCTCTCCCCCCCCCCTTCCTTTTTGTGTGGGAAAACATGAGCTTTGGTGGAAAGGGCTTAGTGATGTAGGAGGGAGAAGCTTGGTCTACTCCAGGCCTAGGCCAAATGCCTCCCAGTAAATTTCTGTATTTCACCCCCTTCACTGTCTTCCTGGCCCGTGTTTGCCAGGAGCCTGTCCAGCGGTGCACAACACAACAGCACAAGAGGCGAGCTGGCTGTTGCCCAAGCCCTTTATTCCTCTCTGAATTCACCCAGCAAAGCAGCAAGAGGGGCCTGCACTTAGGGGCAGTTCCCTTCCTGGAGGCCCACCAGGTGGGGGACTATCTGAGAGCTCTGGGTGCTGGAGGAGACAGACCTGCTGACCCAACAGAAGGCCCTAGGTTAATTCAGGCTCCGGATTCACCGTGGGGTTTTACTAGCTTGGGGCCTCTGACCCTGGCAGGCGGGAGGGGCTGTACCTGCTGCTGAGAGCTCAGACCCCATGGCCGCCCACGACTCCACGTCAGATTGGCCATGAGCTTGGGCCACGTTTCCCTTGCCTCTGCTCTGCCCCCGTTGTGTCTTGGAGCAGGGCTCTGCCCCTCCCTGCTGGGCTCTGTCCAGAGCTCTTCCTGCGGGCAGTGGGGGCAGAAGCTGCAGGCCCTGGGCAGGGCATTTGCCGTGCGGGGGAGGGAGGGGGGCTACTCAAGCACGAAGAGTCCCAGAGACAAGTGGGGGGCTCCCAGCCAGCAGCTCAATCACCCCCATCCTGGGCCTCTGGCAGCGAGTGGTGAGTCCTTCAAGCAACGGGCCCTCTGCCTGCACCTTCCTGGCCACGGGAGGCCCTGCCGGGGCTGCCTCACAGGAGGTGGCTCCCAGCGTTTGGGGGCTCGTGCTGCTGGACTGGGGCTGGCACTGGAGCAGCCCTCCACAGCGGCTCAGTCCTCGTTGTACGTGGGGTTGACGACCGTGGTGGTGGCGCTCTGGTACAGCGGGTTGTTGACCTGCGAGGGCAGAGAGGTTTGCAATCAAAGGGCAGGCTGGGGGAGCAGGCTCTGTTCCTGCTGGCCTGGGCCGAGTCCTTGTCCTGCTCTGCACTGGTGACGTAGAG